AGAAGCTTGGGGACACCTTACTGTCGAGATCAAATAAACTGAACGATATCGCGGGTCAGCTGGATGAAGCCATGAAGGATGACCAGTCTAGTCCCCATCGTGACCGGGTGACAAAGTGTTTGACTTAGTTTTCGAATCTGCTATATTTTCAACAGTTTGCAAGCAGTGCATATACAAAGGGGTTGGTTGCTAGCATGACGTATGCAAGCAAGTGTACATTGCAGGAAGATCCCTCATGATCCCTCCCACGTGTCGCTACTAAGGGTGCAAAAGACCATCGATCAGGCTGTCCAAATATTGGAGGAGCAGTTTGAACAGGTTGAACTACTGAAGGCCGAGGTGGAGGACCTCAAAGATGGGAAGCTGCCTGAGAAGGAAGCAAAACCGCTACTTCCCTTCATTATTTGCAGCCAATTCAGTTCCCTTCCAGTCAGGAATCTGAACATCTGTTATATTGCATTATTCTTGGAAACCCTGGGATGTGTACTCTATACAGGTTCTGCTTGCACACGTGATGCTGGGAGTTTGAGGTTGATCACCAAAGTGGAAAACCAGCTGAAGGCTACTCAGAAGGCATGTGCCAAAGTCACCACTGCTGAGACTTCTGGAAAGATCTTTGGCTTTTACAGTCTAGGTGAGGGTTGCTCGCAAAGTTCAGCCATAATAATTTAAGGCGTATAGAAAGGTGTGATCATGGTTATGAGTTTCTCCACACTAGCCCCCACATCCCCCATCTCCCCCATCTTTCATGGATTGCCTCGCAGCCAAGGAGTCTGTTGAAGATGGTGAGCAAGTCATCATCCTGAAAGGAGTTTGAGCTGGGATGCCTTTCAACGCCGGGTCGTTGATGTTTGCGTCCCAAATCCACGGGGCCCTTCCATACAGCGAAGGGATTCTTGCAGTGGCGGCCTCTTAAAGCTTTCGCCATTGCATCTTAAGGGGATTGGCTAACATGTGCATGGCACGTGCTTCATTGGGTCCAAAATGGATGCCAACAAAATCTGCTTACTGGAGCTGCGCAAGATCGGTGAAAATGGTGGCCTTGCGCCCCACTGGATGTTAAATGAGATGGTTTGCTGTTGCAAGCTCTAAATCCGTGATGCCAGGTTCAAAGAGAGAGGCACCGCCGGGACGTGTCCTTGAACATCTTGCTGGCTTTGCTGCTCGTGGAGCCAGATCCTCAGCCAGTTGGGTCCTGCGCTGGTGGGGCTTCCATGAACAAGCTAACCAAAATATCCTGGGCATTCCTCATGCAGCCATGGGTTCAAATGGATCAAACTGTATCAACATATTTATATTTTACTTGCAAGACTTCAACTTTTGTAGATCAACCCAGACTTACCGACCAAGCGCCCCTTGACATGGAAGATTGGTTGGGAGAGCTGCTTCATTTTTCTGGTGGAAAGCGGGCTGCTGACATCCCGCAGCCTGAAGAACCTTGCCCAAAAGCTCTCAAGTTTCTTGGCAAATGCTATAGTTCTATTGAGCGTGACTTACAATTCCTGTACCATCGACAATTCTGCAAGCTGTCGCTCTAATATTTGATGATCTGTCCTAGGCTTGATGGATATGGTTCTGGAGGGGTGGCCACACAAAGTGAGTTCGATTTCGATTCATTCCCTGACATGGAGTACTTCACTAGGAACGATTCCATAGCCGAGTGCGCAGCTCCCGTTTGTCCTCCACAAAACACAGCTGGTGAACACGGAGCAGCCCCATGGCAAGAAAAGCCACAAATACATTATGAGGAAACGAGCTAGTGCATGAATGCATGGTGTTTGTTGTATGAACTGCTGTTCGGCTCTGTTTCGGAAGTTAGGTGGCGTGACCACATGACTAAGGAATCGGTTTCAACTGCTATTGCCACCCTGACAGCTTTGGGGGATACATTTGATGGTGATAGCTTTGACTGGCAATCTGTTCGGCGATTCCAGCTTCTGAACCACTGCGCTACCCGTGGACGACCGCCCAGCTGTGGGAAAATTTTAGCTCATGCCAAAGGGCAAATTAGTGCGTTCAGGGAAAGTATTGGGGTCAGGCTTTGTGTCTTTAAAGTGGGCGTAACAGCGAACCCCATACGTCGATATGTATCATACTTGGACCAGGGGTTCACGTCCATGTGGGTACTCACAAAGTCGTCCAGTGTAGATCTAATTCATATGCTCGAAGCTGCTTGCATTAGTCACTTTAGTTTACATGTTGGTTGCAGGAACCAGCATGAAAGTGGTGGGGAGGGGGCTCTCAACAGAGCTAACCCGAAACCGCCATTCTTTCTATATGTGGTAGGTGGCAGAGCTGATCAGCCAAGAAGGATTGGCTGATGGATCATTTTAGCACACACTTATTGGGGCACGTTGCAAAAGTGAGACAAGGCACCATGCACACTCTTCCAGACTTTTTTTGTTGTCTCTACGGGGTTTTACCGTAATACCATTGGAAGTGCTTGCATGATCCTGACCCACTATCCGCCACAGCAAACTACACCCATTACAGTTTTCTGGTGCGCTGAGGAACCCATGTCCTACGTGGTTAACCTGGCAGCTGCGGAGGTGCTGGAGAATCCGAAAGCCAGTGAGGCTTTGAAAGAGTTTGCTTCCATTAGACCTCGGGATGCAGAAAACAAGGCACATACAGTGTTGGAGAAACATGGCCTTACCTGCGCAATTGAGATTGACCGGGTTGACCTCGCTGAAGGCAAGCGTTACAAAGGCTTTCCTTACATAAGGTTTTCTACATGGGTGAAATACCTCCTGGACACCGGGCGTTTGACTCGACAACTTTGTGCCTGTCAGAACTTAGAGAGTATGCAGGCGAAGCTAGAAGAGTTTTGGAAACGCTATCAATCGGTGTACCCTACACATCAGCTTTTCACCATGAAGGAGGCCGGGGTCGACCTATCCCTGGTAATCCCTGTCTTCAGCCATACAGACGAAGGACGCTCTTACAAAAAACAGGCGCTGTGGCTCTTGAGCACGCACGGTGCCTTGGGTAGGGGCACGCGTGGGTTTTTGAGAAAAAAGAAAGACAAGCTTTCGTTGAAACGATGTGGGCTGGGGTTGAACTTTTGTGGCCACACGTGGTCCACTCACTACATGTTCGCCTGCATGCTGCGCAAGTTCTTCAAAAAGAAACCCCAGGTTTTGGATGATCTTGTTGGCATCTATGCGAAAGATATGGAGGAACTTCTTTTGCAAGGAGTTTGGAGTTCTGATCGGTCAGTTCACGTTCGCTGCTGCCACATTGGGACAAAGGGGGACCTCCCTGCCCTCACGAGAATGGGAAATATGAAGTACTCCTTTGGAAATTGTCCCAGGCAATCCAGATCAAGGAAACCATGTGAGGGGATATGTTGGATGTGTTGCGCTGGCCAGGAAGACAATCCAAGCAGAGGATTAAACTCAGTGCCATATGAGGACACATCTGGCAGGCCTCTGTGGGAGGCTACTTTGGGACAGCGGTTAGCTTGGGATGAAACACCGCCAATGTTAAAAGGGGTGCCCATGCTGGAATGTGACAGCTGGATGTTCTACAAAACTGACGTTTGGCACAATTTTCACCTTGGCCTGGCAAAACACTGGGTGGCATCTTCGCTGGTATCCATGTTGGAAAACCTCCCCATGAGACCTCAGTCCATGGATGACAAGGTGGAGTGGCTGGGTGAAGAATACAAGAAGTTTTGCACCCGCAGGAAAATCAGTCCACACTGTGAGGAGCTTGGGCGGGAGACTCTGAATTGGCATCAGAGCAGCAATTGCCCTGTTGGTGCATGGAACAAAGGAAGTGCCAGCACCCACTACATGTTGTTTTTGGAGAACCTTTGCAGCGAGTGGTCGAATGAAATTGAGGGTGAACCCTTACTTGAGGCAATTGCTCCTAGTATGTTAATTAGGTTCAACAATTGTTTCATTTTTTCAATTTTTTGAGTTTATGTGTGGGCTGTGTTTGGAGCGTCCAGTCTTTGACTTTGCCTTCTCAGGCGATTGGAACTTCGGCTATGAACACCGCTGTTTCTGCCATGTACTATGAAGGGTTTTTCATTCGGTGGCCAAGGGCCCAAAAGATAGCGAAACTCTGGCTGTTGTTTCTGCAGAAGTATTCCCTTGCAACTGCGATTGTCTACCGTAGAGGGCTCAATAGGTTCAGTATTGTACCAAAGTTACATATGTTGCACCATGGAGCGCTCCGGCTATTGCGTGAAGCCCAAAGGGCTGAAGAAAATTCAACAGTTTGGTGCATCAACCCTTTGTCAGAGAGTGTGCAAATGGAAGAAGACCGGATCGGGCGACCAAGTCGCCTGTCTAGACGGGTGAATCCAAAACAAATTCACCTACGTGTTTGCCAACGATCCCTGATTTCAACAATGAAGCATCTAAAGGATGCTGACCAGGATGAGCGCGGGTTGTTTTTGGTACAGTAGCCTTTAAAGATGACCCTTACACTGTAACACCTGCCTTTAAAGCATGCAGAAGTACTTTGTTTAAAGTCACAAGGTTGTGTGATGAAGTTCTTGTTTAATCGTGGGTTTATCTGGAGGCTAAGGGTTGCCGAGTTGAACGTCTTGAGCCTGCAGGGGATGAGCGAGGCCAAAACCGGGTTTGCTGCTGGAGGGTGCCAGCGGTGGTGGTGGATCTTTTTTTGGGTTTCATCACATGGTTGCATGGTGGGCAATACAACTCTCCCTTTTTCTGCACCAGTTGTGTCAGTATCACTTGTTCCATCTTATTCCCCATGAAGTGCTCCAATGGTCAAATTCCGAAAGGGCCGTACTTTTACAAAAGGGCCGTACTTTTATCAAAACTCGGGTCTGACCTACTTCTGCAGGCCAAAGGGGCCTCAGGTATATATATATATGTGTGTGTGTGCATCACATGCTTTATTCTCACAAGCATGTTGGCTAACGCAGGAGCCAACAGGATCTCCCGGTCGCACCATCCCACCGGTGCGAAGACCATCTCCTCCGCTTTTCGATCGATCTCGCCGCAGAACCCGCGGAACCACAGGAGGCCTTGTTTGAACACCCAAAGTATGAGCACAGTGCGGAGCAAGAGTGGCTGTCAGCGGTGGAGCGCATGCACGAGATGTTGCTGCAAGAGCATGGACTCCCGGTCCGGTCACGGGACAGACCGATGCTGGGGACTGGTGGCAGCACAGCACAGCACAGGTGCTTTGGGGTAACAAATAAAATGACCAGGAGCTGTACCAGAACCATCCAGTTCGGGTGGCTATTGGATGGACAAATGCATCATTCAGGGGATTCTATACACCACCCTAACCCTGGGTGGTGCTGGTAGTCGGGCAGAGCTGTTTGGTCATGCTTGCAGTCCTTGTGAGTCAGTTAGTTGCGGGAACCTTACAAACGGGATGATGCCATACATGAGAATCGTGCGGTTGGGTTGGGTTTGGATTTCTGTCTCCTACATAGTTGGGTTGGGTTTAGAAACCACTCGCTAGCTTGTGACAATGTCAATGTGGCATGTAGTTGGCCTCCAATTTCAGAACTTTCAAACACATACCTAGGCCCTGTAAGGGGTGTCCTGGCTGGAGGTCCCTGATTGTGGTGTAGGGGCTTCCATTGGGCACCCCCTTTGAAGGTGCTGGCATACAAACGGTCCCTATCGATCCACTGTTACCCTGACTGAGACACTTGGATTTGGACCCGGCGGAGCGCCAGGAACCGGGTCCAGTGGTGGCCGAAAAGGGTTGGTGGACGGTGGATCTGTAGATCCCTATAGGGAGTGGTTTGGAACGACCTCCAAACATGATTTCTTCGATTCGAGGTAGCATGCGCATGCGCATGCGGTTTGGGTCCAGCGAAGGTCAGAACTCGGACATGTCAAGAATCATGTCAGGAATAGGAGCGGGACAACGATGTTTTGCGGATGGCGATGAAGATGTTGCTTCCAAGGAGATGTTAGATCTGGTGTTCGAGAGGGTATCTACCAGCTTCTTAGCTCCTTCGTGACCAGAGTCTCTGTTGGTGACCCGTGACCTGGAGGTCAAGCCCAGCTCGTGTTTTGGTCCAAGAACGGTGCTACAGTGCCTACAGGTCCAGTGTGACCCAGTAGAAACATTGTAGAGACTGGTCTTGTGTTTGCCTCATGATTGAGTAGTGGTTTTGCATGATCAAACCGAGACACTCCATGTATGGCACGGCATATTTGCATACATCGACCCCCTTTTCAACCACCCCAATGTAAGTAATTCAATATGCCAATCCCAGACACTCCATGTATGCCATATATACCTGGTTGGGATGGTTTGGGGGGTCAATGTAAGCATATATATGGCAGTCCCATGGAGTGTTTGGGAAACCTCAGTGAGCTCCATTCCTGACCTCTAGGGCTGAACATCAGACGTGCCGCCATGCCACCGGTGATCGATTGACCATGGGTGCGGGGGCGACTCGGGGTCACGGTCGCCACATTGATATGTTCAGATCACCCGTAACAACCAAAAGGGATGACACCTGAAACTGAATTGATGTGTGTTGATTTGTGCTCGTACGGTCGCCGACCTGGGAGCTATGTTTGCCGCAGCTAACCGCTACAAACTGCTGGGGGGTTCGACCTTGCCAACTTCGATGTGAAACCGCTTTTCACGGGAACCTCGCTCCCGGCTCGCAGGCCCCGCTCCCTTCGGCTCGCAGCGAGCTCGCGGACTCCTCCCAACAAACGGTCGTGTCCCGAGGACGGAGACACTTCCAGTACGAGAAGAAGTTTCTGAGGGACACTCTCCTGCAAAACGTGGAGAATCTAGACTTGCTGATACCTGTGTAATTCTCGAGCTCCGGTGAGCAGAACCAGCGTGCAGGTGAAGAAAAAGTGTGGAAAAAGTTCTTGGCATATATATTTATGCGTGTGTCAGTGTGTTTTTAATATGTTTAAAGTTTGTATTATATAATATGCTATGGATACCAATGGAAACCCTACTAGGCGTCCACCATTAATTGAATTGTTTTTTACCGAACAGACCTTGCTTTAAGGATCTATATCCAGGCTGCAGTCAATCAATTTGTGGTCTTTAAAAGGCTAGGGGGAAGGTCGTTCTGAGTGAACTGAGAGCCTCCAAGTGTGGAGCTGAGAACCGAAGCTTTGAGAAACCGACTAACCGTTGCTTTGGTCATTCTGCGGCGTCTGACAGTTTGATCACAAACATGATCAGACCACATGCTATAGCTAGGGGCAAACCAATCAGATGTTGTTCCGTTTCTGTTCAGTTGAGAGGAATGCATTTGATTGGGCCTCTTTGTCAGGTCCCAGTGCAGGTCCCAAGGCGAAAACGTGGACCTTTTGGCAATGGAGGGCTACCTGAAAGAACGACTGGCTCTTCATGAAATCCTGGTACAACACCCATGCACTCCATGCATGGAATACTACATCGACCACCAAGAACCACCAAACGTAGGCCATGCTTGCATACATGGAGCGTTTGGGACATGGTGCGCATCAGTGGCAGATGCAAAACCAGTCCTACACAAACTCGTAACGCACCCACGGCAGCCATCCCCAGGATCGCTGCCATTGTTTTCTCCAGGATCGCCTCTCTCACATGATGCATGATCCATGACAGGTGACACTTCCGTTCCATTCCATCAGCTCGTGCCAGAGCTGGAAGCCGTTCCCGAAAGCCCATCGCAAGAGAAGAGCCGTGTCCCAGCAGATGTGCCGCCCCCCCACTACGACCGCCTAACTAACGACCGACCCCGCGTTACGGGTCACGGACCGCTCCGCTTGGCTTGGAACCTTGGGTGCGCGCCTGGTGCGCCATGCCTGTTGCTCCTGGAGTGCCACATGCCAACTTGCTGCTGCTGGCCCTGGCGGCCGTGGTGTTCGTAGCGCCATGGTGTTCTACCCAATGAACCCTATAGGGCTCCTGTCCCACCTTCTGTCCCACCAGGTGGTTGAAGTGGATGTTGAAGTGGATGCCAGGGGGGTCTAACATGGTCTAACCACCGAACCTGAGGAGTTGGTTGGAGCCCTAGGGGAAATAGAGTTTGCCAGTGGCTTTGTGCCTTTTTTCCTGATGAACTCATCGCGAAACTGAGCGCATGCGACATGTGACATGCCATTTTGTCCTGGCCTCTGGCCTGGTTAAACAAGTAGTCTTTGTTGATGATCGAAGATGTTTGAAGAAGATTATATTCCCAGACAATTCATGTGTGGAATGGTTACTTACATCAAGGTCACAAATGGGCTAGTCATGACATAGCCATTCCAGCCCCATTCGTTTGGTCTGGGATACATCTGGTGTTTTCAGCCATGACGAGTACCAGGTCGGTGGCATGTACGTGGAAAGCTTGATTGCCCACTATGCGGAGCGAACAGCGGAGGAGATCGTGCAGACGCATGGTGCAATCACCAACACCTCTGGAGTTGGAGGCAGCGCCAGAGCCACACACTCAAGCAAGGAAGCAAGATGAAGCAAGTGAACAATGCCCTTTGGGTAGACCGCGTTCCAGCAGAGGTCGTGTTCTGCTTCCAAATTGGTTTTTTGGCTTTCCGTAAGCGGGCTTTCCACGCAGACGTGGATCACAAACTCTCCGCAAGCGCCTTGTTGTACTTCCCTGTTTCTTCAAGAGAGGGCAAGGTTGTCCGACCCCTGGATGCAACTGATGAATCAGCAACGACTTTCTTGGCTGATCCGACTGAAATCTAGGACAATCACGGGCCAAGGGAGACACGGAATCCTTGGGCCAACAAGGGCCAGCCACTTAGTCACTCAGTGTCGACGCCACTACATCTTCAAACAAGAAGGGGGAGGGTCTTCGGGTTTGGCTGCTTCAACCGATCTCAGACATGGCTGCAGCCATGTGGCGTATGAACGGAATGCGATTTGGAACCCAAGATTTCCGCATCTCCCAGGCCTTTGCAGAGAACATTTGCCAAGAACAGGCCAGGCTCTACAGGTATGATTGATCACTATGACCACTGCCCCCCTCTTAGAAGGTGATGTGTTCGACATGTTTGTAGTGTTTTTTTGTTTTATGTAAGTTTGGAGGGCCCAGTCGTGCCTTCGATGGTGGATCCGTAGATCACTATAGGGGTTATGCATGTGTCGAGACGGTCAACCTATGATCCCTAAAGCTCCAACCATATCCTCAGAAGGTGGCTAGACCCACCCCAACCGGAGGTGGTTGGAGCCCTAGGGAATTTTGAGGGTGCACCTGTTGACCCAACCTGTTTCATTCGGTGCCCCAACCTGTATGGGTGGCCCATCAAGAGGGCTTTAGGGAGGGAGAAGTATTGCCCACCCGTTTTTCCTTCCCACAGATGCTAGGGGCTTGAGGTTTCTGCTAGATGACTTGTGGAAGAAGCCAGACCTAAAAGACATTGGTTGCTGGTCTCCTTTGTTCACATTCCTCCTGATGGTGGTTCTGGTCAAATATATCCTTGAGAGGTTTGGTTTGGCGCGTGGTGGAACACCTTTTGGCGCTGCTCTTCGTCGCGGCCGACGTGGCTTCCGCCTGGGCACCGCTCATTGCGGCGCTGCTGGTCTTGCTGCACCGCGCCACCGCGCTCCACGTGTGACCCGCCACCGGGCTGAACCCGGTACGCCTGCTGGACTGAGTTGAGGGATTGAGAGATGTGGAGGGAGAAGGTGGCGGCCACATTGTAGAATTGAGGAAGGGAAGAATTCTACCATATGATAGACTACATGTTTCCTGTATAAACTTCCAGATGCAGATGCCTCCCGACATCAACCAGCACTTGGCAACCGTGTACCAATACTTCATTTGCCAACTCGCCTTCAGCAATATATATACTATATAATACTACTCCGGGGAAAAAAAACATCTCGATGAAAAAATGAGATTTTCCGATTCAGTTCCATGTTAGTGCCAGGGTGCATAAGTGCATTTTTGCACGTTCCATGTTAAATTTGCGCAAAGCAGTAAACCTCCGGTTGATAACCTTGTGTGGCCCTGGTATCAGTCAGGGCCAAATTTAACATGGACCATTTGACCCTAGAATTCTGGGTGCCCCCCCCCGTTTCATGTTAGATTTGCGAGCCTCTAAGGCGGTTGCAGTGGGCCTCCACCGATGGCCTCTATCCTAATAGCTATGGCCTCCAACCTAGTCGCGATGGCAAGTTGCGTTCCATGTTTGCGTCGCGCAGCCATACGCAGCCCAATTGTTGGCTCGTGATCGGGGTCACTGGCCGACATTCTGGGAGGCTTGCAATATGGATGGAGCAGTTTGGAGGGTCGGATGGAAGATTCATGATGGACTCTTGTGGCTTTTCCACATTGCTGTATTTGTTAAAGGCCATCCACAAAAGGCCAAAGGGAAGGCCGGCTTGACTTATTGAATGTGTTGGAGAACTACTTGAGTGTGAGGGACACTATCATCCTTCAGTGATAATCACTCACATACTGTAGAAAAGAGTTGATGTCCAGTAGGATGGAAGATGTGTTCCAGGTTAGCGTAGTTGTGGCCCATTAAAATGTTTGCCATTGCAGGCAATGGCTGAAGAATGCATGGGCAGCTTGCAGGCTTTCACTACGGACGGAGCGGATCGATTTTGGATGGAATGGAGCCGGCTTAGATGAGATGCTACAGGCTTCGCAGGTTTCCCAGGTGTCGCAAGTTCCCAAGCTCACGACGGCCCCCACAAGGTTTTTTTCAAAGGTGCCGATTCTGCCTTAGACATTTTCCCAATTTTTTCCCAGGATCCACCCCTGAGATGTTTTGCTTTTGGCGGGAATTGGGGAAGTCAGAAGGAGAATGCTAACATAGCACATATTGTGGTGTTCATACGGACATTTTGCGCCCAGAGCTGAAAGCTCAAGCCGGAGTTTCAGCCATGAAGCTGGCCGATTCTCCCACGGTGAGCCAATGCAGGCCTTTAAGCTACTACTATGTAGAAAGAAAGAAGTGTCACTAGCCTGTGAAATAGACCACAAATATGACAACAACTATATGTAACTATTGATTTGTAGTTTGCCTCTCCCGCCATGGATGGTACGGGAAGTCCCGACTACATCATCACTTCAGATGAGGAGACGGGGGAATGGGTGGTCGCACCAGAACCAGCTGGAAAAGAGAAAACACGCTACGCAACCTTCGTCGTGAAGCAGGAGAAGCCGAGGAAGCTTCCCTTGATCAATCAGCCAATCTCCTCTTGGAAGGCCAGTCCAGAATGGGCAAAGCACTTCAACAGTGAAAAGGAGTGCCTGTGCCTGCTGTACCTGGAATATGTCGACGCTTCTTGTTCCAAAGGCATCACTCCATTGAGCCGGAACCGCTATGTGTATGACAAGTTGGTGCAGTCGGGCTGGCAGATCAAGAGGGGACAGTTCTTTCTCGCCAAGCTAGGCTGAGCGTGAATCCAGCAGGGAGAGCGTGAATCCAGCTTAATAATTAGAATGGTACAGCAATGCATCTCAATTCACGAAACTGACGTGAAGAAGGGAAAAGACAGTGTGGGACAGCTCTTGAACAAATCAAAATCAGAACATTGCAAGGGAAATTGGAGAAGTCAGAAGAGACACACTAACATGGCACATATTGACCATTGTTTGGCATGGGAAGGTTCTCCAATCTAGTCAATTCTAGTGTCATCGTGTGTCCCGTGGATCCATATGCTTATAAGCACTGTCTATAAAAAGATGCTCACTTGGGCAATTTGATGTGAAATCCTGAACCAGCCCCCATCTGCTGGAGGTTGTGCAGGAAGCTGCAACATCTCGTGGTGTGGAGCTTCACATGTTGGAGGCGGGAAAGTGGACTTAGAAGGGGGAAGGGGAACACTAACATGGCGCATTTGGTGGTGTTTCAATTTCCCAGGGATCTGCCGCTGACCTTTCTTGCTTTTGGAGGTTCTCCAACCTAATCAATTCCAGCATCATCTGTTGAAGGAGTTGCAAAGTGCTTATCTGGCCACAATTTGATGTGAAATCTTCA